ATCTTCAGACAAGCGGAAGACTAACTTCCTCGGGGCGGAAGGGCTGCTTGTATCGGCAAAAGCAGCCCAGTCTAACGACGGGTTTAGTGTCCCCGGCTTCACTGGGATCGTCCCCAGGCCATCATCTCAATTCTGAGGGTCCTTCTTTCTCTTTCCCAATCAATGTCTTATCCCCAGCGTGACAAACGTTGCTAGGTTGTGAATTCAAGTTGCTTGGTAATTCGCCATCTGCTCAGAGCGTATCAGAAACCCGTGTGGCCACAGGCAACGAGAGCTACTTTCGCGGCGGTCATAGAGGCTTCCTGGTTCTGCAAAGCCCAGACCCACCATTTTCCTTCACCCAGTCCTTATACTTCATGGTCTGCATTAAAATACAGCATCTCACCTGCTGCTTGGATGCCAAAGCCTTGTCCTCTACGGGAACTTGACCCCGGGTATAATGGGTGTTGATTTGAACGATATTCTGCCACTGGAGTCTGTGAATTACAACCAGCGACACAGTCCATCTTGTCTCTCCATCTGTAAGAAGGCAGAGCTGTGGAGAATGAGATGTCTGGGGAAGCTCCTCCTGTGCACGCCCAGCGGCGGGTGGCCCGCCTCAGGTCACTGGCGGCCTACGGAGCCAGCAATCCCAGGACAAGGCGCAGGCACAGCACAGTGGGGACCAGCTGAGCCCTTGAGGCCTCTCTCCATCTTGTCGCCCCACTTGACCATGACCACACAGCCCCGCGGAACTCAACCCAGTGCCAGCCTGTGCCCTGGGGCCCTGATCTCTAGCAGAGGGTGAACTGAAATCACAGAGTGGAATGTAATGGGTAAGAGAGATAACCACAGGTTAGAACCAGAATCGAATCAAAGATTTTAAACCAATTTGGTGGTGGGAAGATCTCACTGTATCTTGTCTACCTACGTGGGTTAACTGGGATGTCTTTCGCTCCTCTCTTCTCTGAATGGGTATTTTTAAACTAGTTGCTCGCTTCCTTCTGCCCCGTTTTACATTGGGGAAGTTGGAGGCAAGTGAACTGTCTAGACCACAGGGGCCGTGGGCCTCATGTAAGCTTCTCTCCATCACCCCTGAGGCTGAACTTCTACCCGGAGGCAGTAACTAGAGGAGAATTTCAGGCTGTGCTGCCTGGGGGAGGGAATGAGCATCATATGTGTAGACCCGGTCATGGGAAGGGGGCGAACTGATGCGGACGAGGTAAGGGGCTGATCTGTACGCGAAAACATACTGACCCGCCAACGCTCAAGCACGTTTCTTTTATTCCTTCTATTGATGAGAATAAAACTCCTTTGTAGTGTTGGGGGCCCGGTGACATTAGTGCGTTCAGTATAATTTAGAAGCCTTGCATAGGGTTTTCGTTTTCATTTTTTGTTTCTGAGCGGACGGTGAGCTCAGTGCCCAGAAGCCCGGAGCCAGGGCGGCCGGGAGGACCGGAGCTGCGGTGAGCGGGGCCCGCGGGGCCCACGGGGCCCACGGGGCCGAGCGCCCCTCGCGGGACCGGGCGGCACCAGACCACGAGCGGCCCCCGTCCTCTCGCTTCCCAGCGCCGGAAACTGGGAAAGTCATAATTACCATGACCATTTTTCTCATACATAAAATGAGAATAAGAAGCCGCAGAGCCGGGAATGCTAAGTGTGAAGGTGTGCACGACGGGCTTGACGCAAAGCCTTTCACGCAGAGTGCGGAGCCGTGAGAAGGACCCCGGGCCGGGGCAGCAGCGCCCTCCCGAGAAAGCACTCACCCAGGGGCTGAATAATTAAAAAACGGGCAACTCTTCCGTCTGTCAAAGTAACACTGCACAAGATGATGTCACCGAGGGTGCAGCGCCCTGTGCTCCAGGGCTCGCTGCTGGGCTGCAGACTGGCCCCTGCGCTTAGGGGGCGCCTGGCAGGTGGCCGACGGCCCAGGACAGACGCCCCAACCCGGGGCCGCCTCGGCCTGCTCAGCACGAGGCCCTCAAACACCAGGGCCGGCTGGGACGCTGCACGTGGCCGCGGGGCTCTGGAAAGCAACGAACGGCCACCGCTGAGACTTGACCGTATTCGGTCTGCCAACGTCTATCAGACAGTATTAGCGACTAAAGTGACGCTGCTGGGGTGAGCGAGAGGACGGCAGCAGGCCGCGGGAGCGCGGGGCGCCTGGACCGGGGCGCCCGCCGTGGGCTTGCACAGCCGCCGAGGCCCGGCAGCCCGGGGCTCAGCCGCCACCGGGCTCCCTCCTCGGCCTGGGCCGCGGTCAACGCCGCAGCCGCCAGCAGCAGCCGCGAGGACCGCCCCGGGGGCAACCGCGCCTTCTTCAGGGTGCTACTGCTTCCCTTTGGCCAAGGCCATTCCGGCTTCCAAGAGTTTGAAAGTAGTTTCTTTCTTTGTAGGAAATTTGAGAAGCAGGATCCCTGCCAAAAATACCTCCCAGAGGATCCTATCACCTGAAACGAGTGTTGCTAACGTTCTGGTTCATTTGATTGGAAACGCCGAGACGACTCCGGAACCCGGTAGCCCAAGGAAGCAGCGTGAGCGGCTCCACCACTTCGCTCCCGGAGGCCACCGATACGAATTCCATGTTCATTACTATATGGAACGTGGGTACTTATACCACCAGCTAGAACATCCCACCTGATTTTTACTTCTTTTTTTTTTTTTTAAAGATTTTATTTATTTATTCATGAGACACAGAGAGAGGCAGAGACCCAGGCAGAGAGAGAAGCAGGCTCCCGCGGGGAGCCCGACGCGGGACTCGATCCCGGGACCCCGGGGTCACGCCCCGAGCTGAAGGCAGACGCTCAACCGCTGGGCCACCCAGGGGCCCCTCCAGCTGATTTCTGATTTATTTTCTTAAGATAGTTTCCTGTACGTGACGACATTCCCGGGCCAAACTCCCTAAGGCTCCTTTTACAGATTGTCAAATGAATGCACATTTACACATTTATCGTAAGAAAAGAGACCTGCTTAATAAAGTATAAAATGGGAATCATACTTGTCCTAGCTTTGTAAGTTGTCTGAATGTTAAAAAGTGCTTTGTTAAAATGAAGGCATTATGTAAATATATTATCCTGATGCAGACAAAATAAAACCACCTATGACAATAATCTCTCTCAGGGATTAGTTTATAATTTTTACCCCATGCACTGTCATCACTTAAAACAATTTCCAGGAATCTACGTCATATCTTAATAAATGAAGTTATCTTAGTTACTGAAGTACTTATACTCACAGGACAATCCCACGCCTCACTCTCCCGACTCCCTTACTGTTTGCCTACTCTGATCCCAGGGCACCTTCTCCTCTTGACTGGACTGTGACCTCCGGTAACCAGCACCACCACTTAACGCTGCTCTGCTTCCCCAGGCTGATTAGCTACTGGGCTGATACTGTCCATCCCTAGGAAAATATTCTGTAAGTTAAATTCCTCAGTATTTTTAAATACCAGGAAAAAAATTAATCCAAACCGAGGGAGTACAAAAGAAGATGTATTTCGGTTTATCTTATTACACAATTAAGAAACTGGAAAGCATTAGATAGAGGCTGCCCTGCTTTAGAGATGGGGACTTAGGACGTCTTTTTCTAGTTACAAAAAACATGTACTGTAAGAACCACAGTCCTCCAAACAGTACAATGGAAAATATGTGACTACAGCAAGAAAGGCTTTTAACAAAATCTAAAAACCATATGAAAACAATTACAACATTACTTTATAAAAGTTACAAGATATTAAAATAAAAAACAAAACAGGTCACCACGGCTAACAAAGTAACAAAGAAATGACATTTCACTTCCCTTTGTACTTATGTGAGAATTCCAGGGTAATATTTGTCCACGGGATGACCACGTCAGAGACTAACTTATTAACTGGTCACTTTTAAACATCAAATAGATCTGATTTACTGATAAATAACTAAATATTGATGTACAAGTAGACTTTTTCCCTGTCAATGCACAGTTGTGCCTAGAGCCAACCTGTGTATATTTGCCATTTACAGATGTTTATGTCTTAAGAAAGGAAATACGAAGGGAAAAAAAAAACCGGAATGTCCAAGAGAATATAAAATGTTACAAATGAAACAATGAAAAAATTGAGGAACTGCTAATTTTGTAAGTTGCTCATGTATTTTTTTTGGTACCTAAATCCTTAGATTTTGGGTGATTTTTCATATGTCAAATACAGCACCCCAGTGTGAGAGAGGGTGCGGTGGTGATGGCACAAGTGTCTGTGATAGAACACTTCAATAATAAAGGGAATGAGACAAAAGATGCAATGACTGCTTGATACTTTTCCCCAGAGGCGTTATCAGGGCAAGAAACTGCCTAATTTCTCTTTCCCTACATGTCTTGAAAGTCCAAAGGTTGATTTGGGCACCTATAATGGTTATTCCCTTCTGAAATGTCAGAAAGGTAATCTGAACATTTCTAAGCTGAAAAGGTGAAGATCGCCACACTGCACTACACTGAAAACCCATCCGGTAGTTGGGGCCTGGCCTCACACTGAAGTGGCTAAAAGTTTCAATAACAAGCTGCACAGGCTTTTTAAAAAAGTGACCTTGAACGATGAAAGGTCAAACTAGAAATAAAATGTCATAGAATAAAATCAAAGGAAGGAAATAAGGTGGAATTAAAATGATTATCAAAGAATATGGTGGCCTGAGGTCAGTCAACATACTATAAAGAAGGAATGGTTATTTAAAACAATCCTGAAAAATCTTTTGGGCTAACGCCAGTAGAATATATCTCAAATTCTTTTTTTTTTTTTTCCAAATTCTTTTTAAAAAGCAGGGATCCAAGAAATATTCTGAAGTCATATGTAGTTCTGGTATTAATGGATGATTAGTGAGTGCTCCAGTCATAAAGCATTTGGACATACAATGTTTCAATTAAAATGATGACACCATATTTTGTAAAATCTAATGTATTTAATTTTGGCATAATAGTGATTTATTATGTATTAATATTTCAAAAATATACTTTTGGGTTTAACAAACCACCAAAGATCTCAAAATAATGGCCTATAAGCATGCTTTTGCTCCAAACGCCAGGCTGCTGTTGCACTGAAGGCAGTGAGTTCCATCACGGGGGTTATAAGATCCAGGGCTGCAGATCACTGTGAATAAAGAGCAAGTTAATAGGTAACAGCTTCCTCAAGTGCCACATAAATTAATTTTACATTGAGGATACATTTTCAAAAAAAGATGATTTTCCCTTTTTATAATTTATTTCTAAATGTGGTAAAATATACGTAACACAAAATAGACCATCTTAACCATTCTTAAGTATACAGCTAAACAGTGTGAAGTATATTCACGTTGTTGTACAACTAACTTCCAGGACTTTCTCTTTTTTTAATTTTTATTTTATTTATGATAGTCACAGAGAGAGAGAGAGAGAGAGAGAGAGAGAGAGAGAGAGAGAGAGAGAGAGGCAGCGACACAGGCAGAGGGAGAAGCAGGCTCCATGCACCGGGAGCCTGACGTGGGATTCGATCCCGGGTCTCCAGGATCGCGCCCTGGGCCAAAGGCAGGCGCCAAACCGCTGCGCCACCCAGGGATCCCCAGGACTTTCTCATCTGGGAACAACTGCAAGTCTATACTCATTAAACACCCCTCCATGTCCCCCTCCTCTAATGCCTAGCAGCAACCCTTCTACTGTCGGTTGCTAGGAGTTACAAATTTTCACTCCGATCCTGGCTTAGACCAAGTCTGTGGCCCCACACGGTTTTACTGACCACATAATGTTGAGTTTAGAGAGCTAGCTGGGCCACCTGGTCAGCTGCATCAGAAGCCATAGAGGTGAGGACGGCCCACACCAGTAACCACACCTTCCATGCATAGACAGCCCTGAACAGAGGAAGGACTAATCATCTCCTGACCTCACACATCCTATTTGTCACTTGCTGAATGTTTAACTTCAGAAAAATCACTAATTTAGTTCAGTTTGATCATCCCCAACATATGGATGACTGATTACGGTGAAAGTGCTACCACAGAGATCTCTGTCTGACAGAAACTAAGGATGGGCAGAAAGAATCCAACGGCAAATACATCCCCCGTCATTTGACGCTGGGATCCTGGTAAGTGGTCAATTCTTAGCTCTACCTTCCTCATTTGTAAAACAGGTACAGTAAAAAACCCAAGTCTATATTATTATGTGAGGATTAAAATCAGTAAAATCAGATGACTTAGATGAAAACACATCCAGAATACCATAAGCCTTCAATAAATACTCTGTCCTCTGTGGGACCACCACCTCTCCCAGGGCATGAAGGTCATGTGATGCCAAAGCCCTCTAACTGGGCTGAGGTCTCTGATCATACCGTCCCTCCTTTTCCTATTGCAAATGTAGTCAGCCAACGATTCACAAAGATGTTCACTGACCACTGGCCCATGGCCATTACGGGCCATCAGAGAAGAGTCTTTTGTTCTGGCACCATGATTCAGTAAATACACACCACTGTCTGGATCTGGGTGATAGTACATTATTTAATTTCATATCATTCTTTCAAAAAATATTCTTTCAAACTGTGAAATATTTTAACTGTTTTTCAGAGAAAGTATTTTTCATTCTAGGTTAAACAGCTTTCCTCAAGTTTTAATAGATATTTTATTGGGGGAATGTTTCAGATTAAAAAAATATTGGTTAAACGAAGTTAAATAGATTTTTTGCTGCAGCAACAATGGTATTTAAAGTGGTGATGTATATGGTAAGATTGTAATGATATGACATTTTTCAAAGATGTGTGACCATGTGACCATGGTACTCTTTCTTTCAAAACACGTATTAATATTTCTGAAAGCACAAATATGGAAATACTGAGAAAATGTATCAGTATTAAGTCAATATACAGGGAGAAGGGAAACATAAATCTGCATGCAATCTTTAAACACGTACTTTATCCTGAGTGTCACCAGCAGAGCAGATGCTGGCATGAAATCATCTAAACTCAAGTTTAAATAAATATGATCTTCTAGTAAATGTCCTTAGAAGTAATAAACCTTTATAACACAGTATGTGCAATATCTCAAAGTACTTATCTGTAGTATTCTCCCCTAAGAAATATCCTAAAATGTCATGTTCTCTTTTATGTGGAATTGAGGAAGAATTCTCAAATGTTAATTTAAAGTAGATTAGCAAAATTATCTTCTAGGTTTCAGTCTCACTGAGCAGAATATTTCCCAGCTGCAGTTACAAGAGCAACCTGATTAAATCTTGGTAAGAGGCAACGGAAGCACTGATGACTGATCAGTATTAACATAACGATGAGAAGCAGACAAAGGACAAGATCTTCATGAATTTTGGATAGGGAATGCTTCCTTAAAAAGGGAAAAAACTAACCATAACATAAACATGTGCTATCAAAATTAAGAACTTAATTAAAGAATCATAAAAGTAACAACAGTCAAGCAACAAAATGGGGACATAGTTGCAGCTAAATAACCAACAGAATACTATCCAGAATATACAAATAATTCATATGAATCAATGAGAAAAGGACAGAAAACCAATTTAAAAATAGGAACAAAAGAGAAATAATATCTGTCATTTTTATTGAGCCACACCCACAAAAAATTCAAAGAAATGAAGAATTTGGGATGCAAAATAACAGCAAACTGTAATACACCAAGAGTGACTTCAGCAAGAAGACAGCTCCAAGCCCCCCAGGCTCCCATGGAAATACCAAGTAAACAACTAAAGACTGGCTAAAATAATCTTGCAAGAGCTCTGGAAATTAGAGATTAGCAGCAACCCAAAGAATGTCCAATCAAGATGTAGTCAGGCTCCAAAGGGTACAAAATCTGTGGCATCTTTTGCTCTCCCTTGTCCCAGCTTCTCTCCAGGGCAGACCCATGTGTTTCAGGGGAGCAGCAACCCAGCACTGGCTTCTTCCTACACACCAGGGAGCAGGGCAGACTGGATTGGCCACCTGTCTAAGGCCGCCTGACGGACTGATCTCAGTGTTGCTCATTTCAGAGCTAGTTTAAGTCTCAGGCTAGAGGATGCCCTGGTTTACATTCCTGAACCATAAGGTGACAACAGACCCACAGATACCTGGGACAAGAGACTGATGATTGAGAAATACAACATAGCACCTGAGGAACACAGGAGAAGCAGCGTGTGGACTCTCAAGGAAATGAAGATATTCAAAAATAGCCAAGTATACACAGGAATCAGAAGAAAGCACATAGGACCAAACACATGGAAAGATCCTCAATGTTAGTAATTATTAGGGAAGTACATATCAAAGTAGAGTATGATATCACTTTACACCCATTAGAATGACAACTGCCCCCCCCAAAAAAAAAAAAAGAAGAAGAAGAACAAGTGCTGACAAGATGTGAAGAAACTGGAGCCCTTGTGAACTGTTGGTGGGAATGTACAATGATGCAACTGCTATAGAAAAAATATGGAAGTTCCTCAAAAGATTAAAAATGCATGTACCTTATGACCCAGTGGTCCCATTTCTGGATATAGAGCCAAGAGAACTGAAACCAAGATCCTGAACAGACATCTCTAGACCTTTGTTCTCTGCAGCACTATTTACCACAGCCAAGAGGTGAAACGATCCCAAGGGCCCCTCAATGGATAAATGGATAGGAAATGGGGTATATATACACAACAGAATATTGTTCAGCCTTAAAAGTAAAATCCTGCAACATGCTGCAATAGGGGCGAACTTGAGAATACCATGCTATGTGAACTGACACCAGTTACAACAAGACAAATAGTACATGATTCTGCTGACAAGAAGTATCTAAACAAATCAAAGTCACAGAAACAGAAAGAGCTTTGGTTTCCAGGAGTTGGAAGTTGTCATTACAAGGTATGCACCTTCGGCATATGGAAAGTTCTAGGTATCTGCTGCACAGCAACGTAGAGTTAGGGCTACTGAACTGCATACTTCAAAATGGTCAAGGCAGTTGATTTTATGTTATGTGCTTTTTAACTACAATTAAAAATTTAAAAAAATAATACAAGAGAATAAAAACCATCCAACAAATAAGAGGCCAAGTCCACATGTCTTCAAAGACGAATTTTACCAGATAGTTAAAAAAAAATATCTTAACCCCAATCCTTCTCAATCTCCTCCAAAAATTGAAGAGGAAGGAAAACCTCTAGATTCATTCTTCAAGGCCAGAAAAGATAGTACACGAAAAACAAAGTATGGACCAATACCCTTCTTAATATTGATGGAAAAATCCTAAACAAAATACTAAACCAACTTAATAGCATAATGAAGAGATGATATACCACAGTCACTTAGGATTTATTCCTAAAATACAAGGACAGTTTAATATATAAAAATCAAGGACCATTCCGTATATCTCATGAACAGAATGATAGAGGGAAAAACACATTATAATCATCTCAACTGATGCACAAAAAAAGCATTTAACAAAATTCATCATCATATCATGGTAAAAACTCTAAGCAAATGTCAATTATATAATGGGGTGCTATCAACCATAGTTATTACCGTTAGGCTATACTACGGTTAGATCCTTAGACTTTATCCATTTTACAGCTGAGAAAGCTTGTGCCCTAAGGAAGCAGAACTTAAATGTTCTCACCAAAAATAAATAAAATAAGAGATAAATCTGTGAGGTGATGGCGGTGTTAATTAACTAAATGGGGGAAATCTCACCATGCATACATATATCAAGTCATCACAACGTACTCAAAGATCTCTTTGAGTATCTTAAAATTTTGTCCATTATACCTCAACAGGTATGAAAGATACTGAAGTAACATCAGTAAAGGAACACAAAGGCAAAGCGGCCAAATAAAATGAAGAGGAGTTTTGTAGTGAGTCCATTTTGGTTTCAAATTCTAATTTTTCATTTACTATCTTTATGAACACATGCGAGTACCCTAAAACTGTTGAGGTTAAAGTTCCTTGATTACAAAATTGGGATACTTCCTATATCAAAAGGATATTTGATGTTTAAGAAAACACTAGCCAAACTATTAGCAAAGTTTCAGTCATTATCATAAATAAACCACTGAAGTGTCTATTTCTGTGAGGTGAGCAGAGCTTAATGCACCGACTGAAACACAGTTCACATTCAAGATACTAGGACAGAACTCAATCTTGTGCTCTCCTCCTTC